TATGCACAGAGTTGAAATCTCTGAGAAGCACAGAAAAGGCCCTTCAGGAAGTCAGACCTGCTTTGATGGAGCCAGGAAAGGGGACTGACTGAGGGATTTTATTTTGTCAAGGTGGTGGGGGAGAGGGAGGAATCCTGCTTCCAGGGGCTTGTGTGGATTCAACCTCTTATTGACATCTGGAGAGGAGACCCAACCTTTCTTTTCAAATTCCCATGTGAGGCAGGAAGGAGCCATCAGTTTTCAATAACCAAATGAAAAAGAAAATAAAGTATGGCTACATATTTTATTCACAATTATAAAAATTGAGCAAACATTGAGAGAAATGGTCATTATGTGTATACAACAACAGCTTCTACTGTAACTAAGAAAAATAATTATAAATAGGCATATGATGATAATGGTGGTGGTGGTTTTGGTGATGGTGCTGATGACCATAGAATTGGACAGGGTCCTGGTCCATTGTCCTGGGAGGGATCTCTCCCCTGTCCAAAACCATAAGTTGTTTGGAAGGCCTTGTAACAACTCTTAGGTGTGGCAGTTGTGGTTTCAATATCCAGTGACATCTAAATGGAAGATTCCTGCTTTCATTATTTGATAAAAAGTTAATGTGTGTGGAAAACCACCACGTCTAGAAAATATGAGAATGATTATAAGTCAGCAAGCGGTGAGGAGGAGGAGGAAGAGGAAGAGGATGGTGATGATGAGGTTGGACTGAGACAGGGCTCTTTGCCTAAAGAAATGAAGGCTGTTCAGAGGGTCACACATCACTATGGCTCTTCCAATGAGGGGTGCACACGTTTCCCTAAAAGTGTTGAGAAATTTCACAAATGGGGCCGCAATGAATTAGGCAGCTTGGGTGATTCATGGTAAAACCAGATCAGTAATGACCCCAAAGGTGTCTAAGTGCAGATCCCCTGCACCTGGGAAGGTGTTACCTTTCAGAACTGAGACACTGTGAGAATGTGCATGTAGGCAACAGGAATACCCTTCCCATCAGTTGGCAATGACATGTTCCTTATTTCTCTTATTCCCTTCCTGCTGAATTTTTAAGCTTTCAATTTCTAAGAAACTCCTGCTCATAAAATTCTGGTATTTCCTCCAGTGATACAAGATGTCTCTATTATGCACTGTACTTCTTTCTGGGCCTTCACTGGAGGAGGCTTTAGACCCACATGCCCAGTAACTCTCTGTGCATGAACACCAGGGATATTTCTGTCATGTAACTCAAAACAGTCCAGCTTTCTACCCTCACCCAGTTCCACCAGTCACATCCAGATTCATGGGTAGTTTCCCAGCAGCGCCCCCCTCTGGTACCAGAACCTGCTCCAGTCCCTGTGGCTGCTCTAGCCAATCCACATGGGCAGTGGAGGCTCAGCGTTTTCTGGGGAGTTCTTTGTAAAATCACCAAAACAGTTCCCATTAAAGAAAATATTATTAAATTAGCGTTGGTCAAAATTAAAGACTTTGGTCCCATCAAGGATTCCATTGAGCAACTTAAAACATAAACATGAAGAATATATTTCCAGACCTGACTGGTTTGGCTCAGTGGATAGGGCGTCGGCCTTTGGACTGAAAGGTCCCAGGCTGGATTCTGGTCAAGGGCATGTACCTTGGTTGCGGGCACATCCCCAGTAGGGGGTGTGCAGGAGGCGGCTGATCAATGTTTCTCTCTCATTGATGCTTCTAACTCTCTATCCCCCTCCTTTCCTCTCTGTAAAATATCAATAAAATATAGAATATATTTCCAAATCAGTCTGATGGCAGAGTTAATAAATAATACATCAAGGATGTTACAATTTGTGGGAGAGCCCAGCACCCTCTGACCACAGTGACCTCCCAGGGAAAGGGCAGAGGGGGGCTGGAAATGAGGGATTCCTCTCAGGGTTAAAGTTCCCTTTCCTATGAGAAATTCTATGATAGGAATTCTCTGCCCTCACCTCCCTCTGGACCCCAACAGTACTGATAACACTAGACTGAGAAAAGAGGTAAATCCCCTACCATTATCACTTCAACATATGAAAGATTCTGAGTTGTACACCTGCATGATCACTGCTTTTATTTCTTGTCTTTTCTCCACTTAAAGTCATGACTATTTCTGATGTAACTAGATTGGGGTCTCCGCAATAGGCCACTGGCTTGCATATCAAATAGTTTCCACAAGAAACTGTAGACACCATAAAAAATTTTCCAACATCGATAATCACAAATATTTCACCTGTCTGTGCTTGAGAGGTAGTTTCTCAGATCAAAGTAACATCATAAATTAAGATATAAGATATTGAGAATGGCTGCCCTTTATATTTTTCACAATGATATAAATTGTTTCTAAAAAAATTAGATTCAAAAAATTAGGAAATTGTGGATACAATATGATTTTGAGATTCAGAAATGGTCTGAACAAATGGTAATCCCTTTCACATCAGCTTGAAAGATGCATGAAAAGTTAAATGTGTAACCTTCTCATTGAGTCCACCATTTCTTCTTATGCTCAGAAACTTTAGGTCAATCTTTCACCAAACTACAATGTGCTTTGTGACCCAGGTGGTCCCCTGTCCCTGACTTACATGGTGAGTGAGGTCAGGGGAAGAGATGCCCGAAGAGGGCCTCCAGAATGACCAGGGCAACCCAACCTCAGGCCCTACACTTATAGGAAAGGCTGCCCCACATGCAAATTTCTCTTCAAGCTGAAGGTTAAATTCTCTCCTGGGCTGTAAAGGCTCACAGCTCTCTCCTCAGACAGGGTTGAGGTCTCTGGGAAGGCAGAGCTGTGATCTAGAAGAAGATGATGCTGCTGGGTCTTCTCTTGTCCTTGGTGACAGCCCCCCTAAGTGAGGTTCTCAGGGGTCAGACAGTGGTCATGGGATGACTGTGTCTGAAAGTAACAGACAGGGATTGATGCTCCTTGTCCCCAGGTGTCCTGCCCCAGGTCCAGCTGCAGGAGTTGAGCCTAGGACTGGTGGAGCCCTAGCAGACCCTCTCTCCCACCTGGGCTGTCTCTGGATTCTCTTTAATGAGCTAAGATGTGAACTAGATCTACCAGCCTATGTGGGCTGGTAAAGATATAACCCAACACTGAGATCCAGACTCAGCATCACTAGGAACATGTCCAAGAGCCACGTTTACTTAACATTGAACAGCCTGAGTACTTCATGTCATTCCTTCTGGCCTGTAGAGTTTCTGATGATAAATCAGGTGTCACCCTTATGGGAACTCCTTTGTAGGTACCAGTTTTCTTTTCTCTTGCTGCCTTTAAGTTTCTCTCCTTATCTTTAATTTTTGGCATTTGAATTATGATGTGTATCGGCATGGTTCTGTTTGGGCTCTTCTTGTTTGGGGTTCTCTGTGCCTCCTAAACCTGTGTGACTTATCCCTTTACCAGGTTAGGGAAGTTGTCTACCATTATTTCTTTAAACATCTTCTCAATTCTTTTCTCCCTTTCTGCATCTTCTTGCACACCTACTATTCTATTATTGTTACGTTTCACATTGTCTCACAGCTCCCTTAAGCTGTCCTCCTGTTTTTTTAATTGTTGATTCTTTTTGGTTCTTTAATTGAGTGATATTTTCAACTCTGTCTTCTAATTCACTGATTTAATCCTAAACTTCCCCTAATCTGCTGTGTATACCTTCCAAAGTTTTCTTTATTTGTATTATGTCATTCTTTTTTATTAAATCTTTATTTTTCAGATTATTACAGTTGTTCCTCTCCCCCCGCATAGCTCCCATCTACCTGGTTCCCACCCCACCCTCTGCCCTTACCCCTGCACTATCCTCATTCATAGTGTACAATTTTTTTAAAATATTTTATTGATTTTTTACAGAGAGGAAGGGCGAGGTATAGAGAGTTAGAAACATGGATGAGAGAGAAACATCGATCAGCTGCCTCTGCACACCTCCCACTGGGGATGTACCTGCAAACAAAGTACATGCCCTTGACAGGAATCAAACCTGGGACCTTTCAGTCCACAGGCCAAAGATCAATCGATCCACTGATCCAAACCAGTCAGGGCCATAGGTGTACAGTTTTTGTCCAGTCTCTTCCCGCACCCCCCACACCCT